CATAGCGCCATAACATCAAGGGGGACAGCGCTGCCAGCCGTACAAGTTGTTATGGTAGATTATCGCTCGGGAGATAATCGTAAACATCAAAATATTCGTATGCATTAATTCAACCGAAATAACTAACGAAAATAAAACAGACAAGGAATATTATGTGAGAGAGAGAGATATGAACACCGCTACCAGACGGAGTAGCTATATAAAGAAAGCCAGGCAGTCTTGAACAAACACCTATTCATTCACTATTCAAGAAAAATCATCCTAAAAAACAAAAAACAAAATATATAAATAACACAATAAAGAAACTGTGTCATCTATTTTTAAGTTCAAAAAATATCGATTTAATTTACTTCGTCATTTATACATTAGTTTATTTCAATTATTACTTTTTCATTTATTTTATTCACTCATATTCGTACATTTAGTTATTATATTTACTAAAGATAATAAGGACAGCTCAAGCGTGACATTATGAGCATTCTGTCTCAATAATGACCCGGCACAGAAAACGTCAACACTTCACGGGACAAAAAGCAACCCAGTGGGATAAACATTGTGTTAATTAAAATAATCTAAAAGTCATCATTAGGGTAATATTAATAGAATGTTCAGTGTTGTGTATTATGTACGTAAGATTGTTAGTCCGTAATTATATGTACAGTACGTATATTATATGTGTGTGTTTGACCATAACCAATATAACGTACTCTGATTAGTCCTTACCCACAATGACATCAGCTAGTACTCCTCCCAATACAGAGATAGGTTAATGTGTGGAGAGGCTATGTCACACCTCTATGTCACACCTCTATGTCATACCTCTATGTCACACCTCTATGTCACACCTCTATGTCACACCTCTATGTCACACCTCTATGTCACACCTCTATGTCACACCTCTACGTCACACCTCTACGTCACACCTCTACGTCACACCTCTATGTCACACCTCTACGTCACACCTCTACGTCACACCTCTATGTCACACCTCTACGTCACACCTCTACGTCACACCTCTACGTCACACCTCTATGTCACACCCCAGCACTTCATCCGCTCACCCCTTTATCCACCCTTACGATGACTTAACTCCCTTGAGTACGATGACTTAACCCCTTGAGACGATGACTTAACCCCTTGAGTACGATGACTTAACCCTTGAGTACGATGACAAACCTATTGAGTAAGATGACTTAACCTCCTTGAGATGATGACTTAACCTCTTGAGTACGATGACACCTTGAGTACGATGACTTAACCTCTTGAGCGATGACAACTCTATTGAGTAAGATGACTTAACCCCTTGGAGTACGATGACTTAAACTCTTGAGTACGATGACTTTGACCTCTTGAGCATGATGACTTAACCCCTAAGTAAGATGGTATTGTACTCATTACCACACACACACACACACACACACACACACACACACTCACAGGAACAAGTTTGTGTGTCAGAGGTGTGGGGTGGCAGAGGTGTGAGGTGTGGTGTGGTGGGCAGGTGTGGTGTCAGAGATGTGTGTCAGAGGTGTGGTGTCACACTGTGGTGTCAGGAGAGTGTGGTGCCAGAGGTGTGGTGTCAGAGGGTGGGTGTGTGGTGGCAGAGGTGTGGTGTCAGAGATGTGGTGTCAGAGGTGCGGTGTCAGAGGTGTGGTGTCAGAGGTGTGGTGGCAGGAGGTGTCAGAGGTAGGTGTGGTGTCAGAGGTGTGGGTGTCAGAGGTGTGGTGTCAGAGGTGGTGTCAGGTGTGGTGGCAGAGAGGTGTCGAGGTGTAGGTGGAGGTGTGGTGTCAGAGGTGTGGTGTCAGGGTGTGGTGGAGGTGTGGTGTCAGAGGTGGTGTCAGGAGGTGTGGTGTCAGAGGTGTGTGTCAGAGGTGTGGTGTCAGAGGTGTGGTGGCAGAGTGTGTGGCAGAGGTGGTGAAGGAAGCCCACTAACTCGTAAAGAAGACCTTGATCAGCTTCAATAACACGACTCTTCCAGTAATGAAACTGTCGAGGTCCGAAAGTGTGGGGCAGAGCATCTGCGTAGCTTGTCTTCTCACCCCTCACTCCTACGCCCCCACCTCGACCTACGCCCCTACCTCTACCACGCCCTTCACCCTACCCCGCCCCTCACCTCGACCTACGCCCCCTCACCCGACCCACGCCCCTCACCCCCTCGCCCTCACCCTCTACCCACGCCCCTCACCTCGACCCACGCCCCCACCCCACCCACGCCCTCTCACCTCTACCTACGCCCCCCACCCTCTACCCTACGCCCCTCACCTCTACCTACGCCCTCTCCCTCTACCTACGCCCCTCACCTGACCTACCTCACCTTATAAAAATTTCTCTATTCTCTCTCTCTCACTACACAGCTGCCAGAGACTAATAAAAAATGTCAGCATCCTGACATGAATAACATAACTTAGTGAATAACATAACTTAGTGAATAACATAACTTAGTGAATAACATAACTTAGTGAATAACGTAACTTAGTGAATAACATAACTTAGTGAATAACGTAACTTAGTGAATAACGTAACTTAGTGAAAAACATAACTTAGTGAATAACGTAACTTAGTGAATAACGTAACTTAGTGAATAACATAACTTAGTAAATAACGTAACTTAGTGAATAACATAACTTAGTGAATAACATAACTTAGTGAATAACATAACTTAGTGAATAACATAACTTAGTGAATAACATAACTTAGTGAATAACATAACTTAGTGAATAACATAACTTAGTGAATAACATAACTTAGTGAATAACGTAACTTAGTGAATAACATAACTTAGTGAATAACGTAACTTAGTGAATAACGTAACTTAGTGAATAACGTAACTTAGTGAATAACAAAACCTAGAGTAAAATAAAACCAAATGAATAAAAAAAACAAGTGAATAATAACATTGAAAAGCAGAATTTACAGTGAAAAAATATGCAATGAAAACATAAACAGTGAAAAAATTGCAGTGAAAAAAACACAATTTACATTGATAAAAACACAACAGGCTATACAGTGAAAAACACGATATGAAGTGGAAAAAAACGACGTACAGTAGACAGTGAAAATAAAACAGTGAAAAACAAAAGCTATCGACTGAACTCCAAAAAATGTGCAAAAAAACACGTAACAAATAAATAAAAGTTCATAAAACAATCCTGAAAAAAACACACGAGATATTGAACAAAAACACGAGACACTGAACAAAAACACGAGACACTGAACAAAAATACGAGGCATTGAACAAAAACACGAGATATTGAACAAAAACACGAGACATTGAACAAAAACACGAGATATTGAACAAAAACACGAGACACTGAACAAAAACACGAGACACTGAACAAAAACACGAGACATTGAACAAAAACACGAGACATTGAACAAAAACACGAGACATTGAACAAAAACACGAGACATTGAACAAAAACACGAGACACTGAACAAAAACACGAGACATTGAAAAAAAACACGAGACATTGAACAAAAACACGAGACATTGAACAAAAACACGAGATATTGAACAAAAACACGAGACATTGAACAAAAACACGACACATTGAACAAAAACACGAGACACTGAACAAAAACACGAGACACTGAACAAAAACACGAGACATTGAACAAAAACACGAGACATTGAACAAAAACACGAGACATTGAACAAAAACACAACACATTGAACAAAAACACAAAAATTAAAATATAAGACGTTGGAAAAACAATAACAAAATAAAATACCTCACGAACGGTACAAGAAGCGACCCCAGTAGTTCTATTAGTAGCCTCGGTACATTTGACGGTACACAACGCAGGTACAGTGGTATATACTGTATGTAGATAGGTGAAGGTACTATACTTGCTCAGAGAACTACAGCAAACGGTACGTGGACACTGTAAAGTACTGCAATATATAAAAACGGTACACCAATTGGTACTCTGTGTGGTACATCGATAGCGACGGTACTCTTCTCCCATAATGGTATAATGGTACCTCTAACACACACGTACTGTACCTCTAACACAGGGTACAGTATAAATACGGTACAGTAATACATGGTTCAGTAACTAACAATAATTACACACGGTACAGTAACAAGGTTGAGTAACATAAGGTACTGTAACATAAGGTACAGTGACGGTACAGTAACATAGGATACAGAAACATACGGTACAGTACGAGGATACAGTAAGTAGTACAGTAACACACAGTACAGAAACATAGGGAACAATAACGGTATAGGAATACACGGTACAGTATTAGGGTACAATAATGGTACAGCAACACACGGAACAGTACGAGGATACAGCAGTACAGAAACACGGTACAGTAAAATAGGGTACAATAACGGTACAGCAACACACGGAACAGTACGAGGATACAGCAGTACAGAAACACGGTACAGTAAAATAGGGTACAGTAACGGTAGAGTAACACACGGTACAGTAAAATAGGGTACAGTAACGGTAGAGTAACACACGGTACAGTAACGGTAGAGTAACACACGGTACAGTAACGGTAAAGTAACACACGGTACAGTAAGACACGATAGAGTAACACACGGTACAGTAAGAGGGTACAGTAACGGTAGAGTAACACACGGTACAGCAACGGTAAAATAACACAGTACGAGTAACGGTAGAAAGTAACACAGTACGGTACCAGTACACAGTACAGTAAATTACCAACATTAAGAGTAACTACACAGTAAGAATTACAGTAACGGTAGAGTAACACACGGTACAGCAACGGTAAAATAACACACGGTACAGTAACGGTAGAGTAACACACGGTACAGTAAGAGGGTACAGTACCGGTAGAGTAACACACGGTACAGTAACGGTAGAGTAACACACGGTACAGTAAATTACAATGCCGGTGAAACCTTACACAGTAACGGTAGAGTAACACACGGTACAGTAAGAGGGTACAGTAACGGTAGAGTAACACACGGTACAGTAAGAGGGTACAGTAACGGTACAGTAAGAGGGTACAGTAGGCGACGTACCTCTAACATAAGGTGGGTGAATTCCTCGTTGGAAAGGAAGGAAGGTTTCCAGTCCTCTCTGATCTCCTGATTCTGTGACCGGACCGAGATCTCTGGAACAACAACAACACCAGTTAATAACACAAACATTAACAACACCAGTTAATAACACAAACATTAACAACAACACCAGTTAATAACACAAACATTAACAACAACACCAGTTAATAACACAAACATTAACAACAACACCAGTTAATAACACAAACATTAACAACAACACCAGTTAATAACACAAACATTAACAACAACACCAGTTAATAACACAAACATTAACAAAAAAAAACAATTCCAAACAAACACTAATCCAACTTTTTTTTGTTAACTAAATAAAACAACAACAAACAAGAATTAACAACAAAAACAACAACATATCACGCAACAGAAGCAAAAATTAAAAAAAGAAAAATGAAGAGAGAAAACAACACACACACACACACACACACACACACACACACACACACACACACACACACACACACACAACTGACCTTTCTGGTTCTTGAGGAAGGCGATGGTAGCCTTGAGAACGGTCGATTTATCCATCTTGCGATTATTGGAGGCAACCATACCAGACAGTTCGTTAATGAGTAGGTTAAACTGGTCTCTTCTCTTCTTCTCTGATAGATTCCGCGACTTTCTGTGGGTGAGGAGAGAGAGAGAGGTGCGTTACAAGAGTTCGTTAGGGATGTGTTAGAGTGTGAAGAGGTGTTATAAATATTCGTTAACTGATCAGTGGAAAAGGGTGAAGAATATGGGTGAGGAATTTATGCTTTAAAGACTAAAGTAATGGATGTTTCTAAACCGTAAATAAACCCTAAAATAGAAATTATATCAGGCAACAGAGAACTTAAACCATTCGATTACGTTTCCATGTTTTATTTAGGAAGTAACATTAGCTGTGGTGAAAAAAATTTAGGGACAAAATCAAAACAGGAATAAGTCAAGCAAAAACAACATTTAATAATCTAAAAATAAAAAAAACACCAAAAGGGAACATTAACTTCAATGAGAAAAAAAAATCTGCTGAAAGACTTTATGTGACAAGGAATTATGTATGGGTCAGAAGCGTCGATACTTTCAGCAGACACCAGAAAGAGGTTGGAGGCTAATGAAATATGGTGTTAAATGTTAAGAATGTTAAGAATAAGCTATACACTGACAAGAAAACAAATTAAGAAGTATTAATATAAGCAAAAACATCAAGAGAAATATATGAAATGTACAAAAAAAGACGAATGAGATATTTTAGTAATATAATTAAAGATGGGGGGAAAAATAACAGAAATATTAATTGGCAAAGTTGAGGGTTAGAGGATAGGTAGGGTCAGAGGATAGGTAGGGACTGGGATGGATGGATGGAATTATTAACTTGGGTCCCCAGAGTATACAAAACCTTAGAGGATTGGTAAAAACAGCCCGAGAATATTTAGAGTGGTGGGCTGTGGTCGCCAACCCTCAGATGTGACGAAGCTACACTGATTGATTCATAGAAGTGGGTTGTATGGTTAGGTTAGGTTAACTTAGATAATAACGTATACTAGATTAATTTAACTTAGATTATAACGTTAATTAGTCCAAGTTAATTACGACATAACATACAGTGTTACGTGACTGTGTGGCGGATGGAGTGTGTGTGTGTGTGTGTGTGTGTGTGTGTGTGTGTGTGTGTGTGTGTGTGTGTGTTTTATAGGAGATTAGATTAGGTTAGGTAACGTTACTTAACGTTTTATTAAGTTAGGTTAGGTTACGTTCTCTTAAGTTAGGTCAGGTCAGGTTGGGTCAGGTCAGGTTGGGCCAGGTCAGGTCAAGTTAGTTTAGCTGTAACCCACAAAGACCTGTTGATACATTCGTGTCTGGTGTGAGCCTCTGTGTGCGTGAGGGACTTAGAGAGATGGGGATCAGGCGTAGTGTGTGGGAGGTGAGGGCCTTGAGTGAGAGGTGAGGGCCAGGTAAGAGGTGAGGGAGAGTAAGAGGGTGAGGGCCAGGAGGGATGGGTGAGGGCCAGGTGTGAGAGGTGGGCCAGAGGTGAGGGCCAGGAGTGAGAGGTGAGGGCCTTGGGGAGAGGTGAGGGGCCTTGGGTGAGAGGTGAGGGCCAGGGTGAGAGGTGAGGCCAGGGTGATGGTGAGGGCCTTGAGTGAAAGGTGGTGAGGGCCAGGAGTGAGAGGTGAGGCCAGGTGTGAGAGGTGAGGGCCAGGGAGGTGAGAGGTGAGGGCCAGGAGTGATGGGTGAGGGTCAGGCCAGGAGTGGAGGTGAGGGGCCAGGAGGAGAGGTGAGGGCCAGGGAGTGAGGGAGGTGAGGGCCAGCAGTGAGGTGAGGGCCAGGGCCAGGTGAGGGCCAGGAGTAGAGGTGAGGGCCAGGAGGAGGTGAGGGCCAGGAGTGGAGGTGAGGGCCAGGGAGGAGGTGAGGGGCCAGGGTGAGAGGTGAGGGCCAGGTGAGAGGTGAGGGCCAGGAGTGGAGGTGAGGGCCAGGAGTGGAGGTGAGGGCCAGGGGAGAGGTGAGGCCAGGAGTGAGAGGTGAGGCCAGAGAGAGGTGAGGGCCAGGGAGTAAGAGGTGAGGGCCAGGAGTGGGAGGTGAGGGCCAGGTGAGGGCCAGGAGGTGAGAGGTGAGGGGCCAGGAGTGAGAGGTGAGGGCCAGGGGTTGGAGTGAGAGGTGGGGTCAGGAGTGAGAGGTGAGGGCCAGGAGTAAGAGGTGAGGGGGCCAGGTGTGAGAGGTGAGGGCCAGGTGTGAGGTGAGGGACCAGTGAGAGGTGAGGGCCTGGGTGAGGGCCAGAGGTGAGGGCCAGGAGTGAGGTGAGGGCCAGGAGTAAGGGTGAGGGCCAGGAGGTGAGGCCAGAGGTGAGGGCCAGGGTGGAGGTGAGGGCCAGAGTGAGAGGTGAGGGCCAGGAGTGAGAGGTGAGGAGAGGTGAGGGCCTGAGGAGAGGTGAGGGCCAGGTGTGAGAGGTGAGGGCCAGGAGAGAGAGGTGAGGGGGCCAGGAGTGAGAGGTGAGGGCAGGGGTGAGAGGTGAGGGGCCAGGTGTGAGAGGTGAGGGCCAGGAGGAGGTGAGGCCAGGGCCAGGAGTGAGAGGTGAGGGCCCAGGAGTGAGAAGAAGAGAGAGGTGAGGGTCAGGAGAGAGGTAAGGGCCTGGAGCGAGGTGAGGGTGAGAGAGTGTGAGGGCCTGAGGGCCAGGGTGAGAGGTGAAGGCCTGGAGTGGGAGGTGAGGGTCTTGAATGGGGAGGTGAGGGGTTGGGGCCAGAGGTGAGGAGAGGGGGTGGGGCCAGGTGAGGTGAGAGGTGAGGGCCAGAGGTGGGAGGTGGGGCCAGGAGTGAGGTAGGAGAGGTGAGGGCCAGAGTGAGAGGTGAGGGCCAGGTGAGGGGGTGAGAGGTGAGGGGCCTTGAGGTGAGGTGAGGGCCAGGTGTGAGGGTGAGAGGGTGGAGAGGTGAGGGCCTGAGAGAGGTGAGGGCCAGGTGTGAGGTGAGGGCAGGGAGGAGAGGTGAGGGCCAGGTGTGAGGTGAGGCCTGAGAGGTGAGTAAGAGGTGAGGGGCCAGGTGTAGAGGTGAGGGCCAGGAGGTGAGGTGAGGCCTGAGGGGCCAGGAGTGGTGAGGGCCAGGAGAGAGGTGAGGGCCAGGTGAGAGGTGAGGGCCAGGGTGAGAGGTGAGAGGTGAGGGCCTTGAGTGAGAGGTGAGGGCCAGGGGGAGGTGAAGGCCTGGAGTGGTGAGGGCCAGGAGTGAGAGGTGAGGGCCTGGAGTGGGAGGTGAGGGCCTGGAGTGAGAGGTGAGGGCCTGGAGTGGGAGTAAGAAGGTCTATATACCAAAATCCACAGTATTTACGACCACACACACACACACACACACACACACACACACACACACACACACGTATCGATGTATGATTGACATGTATAAAAATCGCCACAATGCAAACACATCGCTAGACCAAGAGTGAATCATTAACAAGGTGTATAATTATGTCAACAAATGTCAAAGGCAGACCTATAACACACGTAATAGTAATAGTAGTAATAATAATAATGTAATAATAATAATAATAATAATAATAATAATAATACGGCACAACGAACAAGAAAGGTTTGTTTACATTATTTCAGTTTTCCTTCCAAATTTCGCTCACATTCTCAATTCGTTTAATTTCCTCGTATCTTTGATAAATTTTAGACGTTTCACAAATCAACAAGAATAAGGTAAAAATTATAACTTACGAGCTTTGGATGAATTTATTCCCTTCTACCTAACGTGAGCCAGTTCAAATATAACTTACGAGCTTTGGGTGAATTTATTCCCTTCTACCTAACGAGCCAGTTCAAATATAACTTACGAGCTTTGGGTGAATTTATTCCTTCTACCTAACGAGCCAGTTCAAATATAACTTACGAGCTTTGGATGAATTTATTCCCTTCTACCTAACGAGCCAGTTCAATATAACTTACGAGCTTTGGGTGAATTTATTCCTCTAACGTGAGCCAGTTCAAATATAACTTACGAGCTTTGGGTGAATTTATTCTCTACCTAACGAGCCAGTTCAAATATAACTTACGGGCTTTGGATGAATTTATTCCCTTCTACCTAACGTGAGCCAGTTCAATTCTCAAATCTATTTTACGCGGGAAAATTAAACTTACAACAATATGATACGTTATGTTGAGGTCCAAGTTGATTTGATTTTATGCTCTTTTATAATCTCTTATGGGCGGAAAATTTAACTTACGACTGTTTGAGTTTGTGTCTTCATGTTTGAGGTAAAATGAGCCAACCACAATCATTCTCACAGTTTTACGTCTACACTTACGAGAAAACATCAACTGAGAATCTATATTTATATCGTTGCTAAACATAAGTCAATTTCCTAAACCCTCATATCCTCATTTACGAGAGATAATCCAACTTAAGAACTTTTGAGAATCTGGAAGGACAATTCTAGTTACTTATGGCAACTATTAGAAGTATAATTGCCATTTAGGAATTTCCCCTTTACTTCACAATATATTCGGGTGATATTCTGTGACTCTCAAAGTGCTTTGAAATCAATGAACAGCCCGTCAGGTTCTATGTCTAAAGTTGTATGTGATATTAATAGTAATGTGATAACTGGCAATGAGAACAACTCTCGTATCGAATTTGTGTCGATTCCGTCCCATGTTGGAATTAGGTATCATGACCGTGCTGATAGACTGGCCAATGAGGCATGTAAGAAAGAAAATGTTGACCGCGACCTTGGCCTGTCCAATGTTGTACTTAAAAACATTCAAGTCAGAATCATGAACTCTGATCTAGAAGAACTGAGAAATGCAGAGAGACCTGGCAGTTGTAGCATTAGTAAATATGAAAAATTTTGTGACGAGATGTACCGGTATGGCCAGCATAAGGACAGAACAAGACAATGTGAGGTAGTCGTGGCCAGAATTAGGCTAGGATACAGACACATCTGGAAAGTTAGTAACGCTGTACCCATACCGGAACACTCAGCATGGAAACTTTGTGATAAACCTTTAAATCATACACTTGAACACTATATTATTGAATGTGACACTTTCAAAGACTTCAGGCCACCTGGCTTATTGTATCATGAACTTTGTAATTACTATACTGAATCGGGGGTGCTTGGGGACATTCTTGCTGTTTATCCCAAATTTGCTAGCCCACACTGATTAGTCTTCAATTAGAATATGACGTCCAATTTATATGAACCACTGTCCTGCATGGCAGTGAACAGTGACATTACCCACATGAATCTGGCCTATATATATACTGTCAATGAATATGATGTATTTCTTTGTGTACGAACTTCTGTCCTGCATGGCAGTGAACAGTGACATCACCTACATGAATCTGATCTATCTATCTATCTATATATATATATATATATATATATATATATATATATATATATATATATATATATATATATATATATATATATATATATATATATATATATATTGTCATGGTCACGTTGACTGCTGATCTATTTAACTAATGATTCTTATTAAACTCCACGCCCACAAAACATGAGTGAGTTAGCGACCCCTGAGAAGACGTGTTTTTTCCCCATACACGCTACACTTGTGTTCCCTCGCAGTCCCGCTTTTGTGAAGACAGTTATCAATGCGTTGTTATTCCACTTTCTCCTGGGAAGCTCAATCTTGAATTAGTCTGTGTAAATCCACTCAAGTAATTCGCCAGACCTTTGTCAACTGAGGGTCATCTTTGTATGAGTAACAGTTAGTTTGTTTGTAATTATTGTCATTGCGTGAGTAACGATCACTGGCACCTCAGGGGTATATATACCCCAAGATGGAGCAGAACAAAGATAAAACACCAATAAGAAAGATGAAGCGATCTGGTTGAGCCCAGATTCTTTCTACTCCTGCTGTATTTCAGTTTCACCACTTTTCCCTCAACCCCTAATAATCTTCTTTCACCTCTTAACTAAAGACTTCGTACTCGAAAGCGTTCCCTGACGCTGCTTCAATGTTTCTCCAGGTATGTTTATGTGTAGCCATTCAGTTAATTCAGTCAATTGTAGTGAATATCAGTGTTCACCAGTGTTCATGATTTAACAGTTGAATTGTCATTCACCCAGTGTAGAAGTAATATAATGTAAATACGTCTGTCGTCTAGACAAGAGAGTTGTTTGTGTTGTCATGCTCCTTGACGCTGCTCCAATGTTTCTCCAGATCCCATTGTGATTCTTGCAACCATTCAACAACGGCCTCGGATGTAGTAGATGACCAACAGGGATCATATACGAAACGATGGCACCGATGCGGCCTGATTAATGCGCCCCACGGCTTCGTTGGGCCAGACCCGCCATGTGTCTGGCTACCCCACAATAACAACAGTCGTGAGCCCTAGTGTTCTACCCTGGGTTACTCCTTGGAAGTGTATGTCCACAGAGAGGGTTGTAACATGTATGTTAGGGATAATTAGATGGAAATAATTATCCCATGTTGGGTAGTGGACCCTGTATATGCTAGTGTCATTATTAACGTATATGTTGAGTAAAATAATCTACAATGAGTGCCATGTAATGTAACACCAGTAATGTTGTGAGTAAGAGTAAAGAAGAAGGGACTGAGTTTGCACTAAGCCCAGGAGTTGAGCCTGGTAGTTATATGATTAATACAATATCTTTCCCCATTGATTGCATATTAATAAACTTGTTTTTAGAGTACTTTAGGTGTATTCCTTTCTCCCACAGTATTTTACCTTTATTTCCATCCAAGTGACTTGATACCAGAATTACCATACCCATGTGCCTAGACCCTCGACCATGCTACCAAAAGAATAGGTGACGGAACTGAGTAAGGGTAAGACTAAGAGAAGTAAGTAAGATGAGGGTGGTGTAGATAAAGAGGGAACCTCTGTCCTGTGTGGCAGTGAGAAGTGATACCACACTCAGTGTCAAGACCTGACTGAATTACTAGGCAAACTGTACTCCAAGCTTTGTCAATAAATTTGTTAAACTAAAAAAAATCATTATCAGCGTATTTAATTCCCGATTACAATCTGAATTATCAATAAAAGCAACGTAACAATTTAACAACAGAATAACAGAAAAAGAAAACAAAATAAATGGAAGAGTGGCGAAATAAGCGTGTGTGTAGGAGCCGTTGTGTATGTCAACAGGTCTGTCTGTTGTCAAGCTCACCACGCGTCGGCTTATATAACCACATTAATAGCGACAGACACACACTCACATGAACCCAATACTGTGTCGTGTTAATCTGATTGGATATTATTATTATTATTATTATTATTATTATTATTATTATTATTATATTATTATTGTATTAGTATCGTTATTATTATTGTTGTCTTTACTATTGCATGATATTATTGTTATTATTATTATTACTTTTGTTGTGACATCATTATTATTATTATTATTATTATTATTATTACAGGTATTATTATTATTATTCTCATCACTAGAGTCACTGGTTGATGTAGACATATTTTTGTATGGACTGTGATAAAGTGATCTACAGTACATGTTGTGTTCTGTTGACCTCAGAGGCATTATGTGTAACTTAATATAGTGTCATTAGTTAAATCATTTTGCCAGATGATTAGACAGCCCAGATTATTTCACTTGATGATGACCACCCTAAAAACTACCCTAACCTAACCTAACCTAATTTAACCAGGCCAAACGCTAACCTGTTTCAAACTAACAAAAAAACAAACCTAACCAAACCTAAAAACTAGCCTAACCTAACCTAACGCTAGCCCATCTCAATCTCACTCAACCAAACACAACCTAACCTAACCTATACGCTATCTAGGGGGTTAGATTAGCGTTAGGTTAAATTATATTAGCGGTAAGTCAAGTGAGGTTAGTGTTAAATTGGGTTAGGCTTTTTAACCTAACCTAACCTAACCGGGGCCTGGAGGAGGAGAAGAAGAATCATACAAAAAAAAAAATCAAGATTGAGAAACAATATATGTATGTTGTGTTGTCAATAGTAAGAGAAACAATTGAGACCCTGCAATTGTGTGTAAATGAGGCAGAAAGTCAGATCATCAACCTGGGACTTGGTTACATATGGCAGCAGGGTCTACCATTAGGCAACACATTATGCTTCCAATATCATCCCTGTTTGGTAGCTGGTTAGGTTTGTTTAGGTTAGGTTAGGTTAGGTTAGGTTTGTTTAGGTTAGGTTAGGTTAGGTTAGGTTTGGTTAGGTTAGGTTAGGTTAGGTTTGGTTTGTTTAGGTTAGGTTAGGTTTGTTTAGGTTAGGTTACATTGTTCAGTTTGGTTAGGTTGAGACAGGTTAGCATTAAATCAGGTTAAGGTAGCGATAAATTAAGTTAAACTGTACTAGATCCAGATAACATTAGGTTAGAATTACGCTCTGGTTAATCGAAACCTGAAATAAGGTGAGAGGACAAACATTCACGTGTGTATCCCCAAAAAAACACCTTTGCGTCAGTCAGAAAGATTCATAAAAGCAACAGACCATCCCACTTATGGTACGAGACATATTCCTCAAGGGTCCAGTACAGTGTTTATTTCTCAGTACTTGAAGATGTGAGAAGGCATACAGGAGACTCGCTTTGGTTATACAATCATGAATTCTGGAAGGTCTTGTATGGTGTATTTCTTAAGAGTACAGTCGATATTATTATTTTGTATTATTGTTATTATTGTTTTTATTATTAATATTGTTATTTGTATTAATATTATTATTATTTTTGTTATTATAATTATTGTTATTATTATGATTATTATTATTATTATTATTGTTATTGTTGTTGTTGTTTTTGTTATTATTATTATTATTATTATCATTATTATTGTTGTTGTTATTATTAATGTCATTATTATTATTGTTATTATTATTAGTAGTAGTATTGTTATTACAGTATTAGTATTGTTATTATTGCTGTTATTATAATTATTATTATTATTGTTGTTGCTATTATTATTTTTATTATTATTATTATTCATTACAATGTTCTTATCTCTATTAGGACAGGGTGGGTCTGCGTGTGTGTGTGTGTGTAGAGTCAATTAAAAAATCCTATCTTTACAAAATTGCTTTAGTAAATATGACACAACGGACGAAAGATTTTGACAACCCTACCGAGACAACAGGAAAGTTTTGTGACCGACTGTACATTGGCGTAACCATGGTGACTCCTCTGACGTAGTGATGACAAGTGTGAAGAGGGTGTGGCTTAGTGACGTCAGTAAAAAGGGGTGTGGCCGGGTGACGTTTGTAAAAGGGGGTGTGGCCTATTGGATACTGTAAAAAGGGGGAATGGCCTAGTGACGTCAGTAAAAAATGGGTGTGGCATAGTGACGTCAGTAAAAAGGAAGGAGTAGCCAAGTGACGTCAGTAAAAGGATGAGTGACACTAGTGGCGTCAGTAAACGGAGGAGTAGCCAAGTGACGTCAAAGCTCACCTTTTGACGTCATCCTTCTCGTCGCCGTCATCATCCATAACAGATCTGCGGAAACAAGAGGTCGAGATATTAATAGACGTGGAGAGAGAGAGAGAGAGAGAGAGAGAGAGAGAGAGAGAGAGAGAGAGAGAGAGAGAGAGAGAGAGACTGACCCCTACACCCTGAGTCAGTACACACGGGCCCTGGTTTATATATGGACTGGTGTAGCGTGTGGTCATGTAGTGATAATAACAATAATAATAATAATAATAATAACAATAATAATAATAATAATAATAATAATAATAATAATAATAATGTAATAATAATAATAATAATAATAATAATAACAACAATAATAATAATAACAATGATAACAATAATAATAATAATAATAATGTAATAATAATAATAATAATAATAATAATAATAACAATAATAATAATAATAATAATAATAATAATAATAATAATAATAATAATAATAACAGCCGTAAAATGTAAACAACACAGAGAGAGAGAAGAGGAAGGAGAAAATAGGAAGGAAGAGGAATATGAATGAGTGGAGGGAGAGGGAGAGAGGGAGATGAGAGGGAGAGAGGGAGATATGAATGACACTCATATTCTGGAGTGGTTGGCGGCCTCCTCAGTAATTCCTCACTACAATGTACATCATTATATAACAACTTCTCTCTCTCTCTCTCGTTCTCACTCGCCCTCTCTCTTTCACCTTCTCTATTTTTCACTCACACACACACACACACACACAGAGCATCATAATGTAACATAACACCACGCCATCGCCACTACCACTACTACTACCACCATTACCATTACTACCTCCATACTACCACTATTTACACCACCACCACCACCATCACCACCACCACCAACACCACCACCTACTCCAACACCACCATCACCACCACCACACGCGTCACAGAACTTAAATCACCTTAACACCTTCTTAGTATGCTGGCCAATGATCAGGTTCACATTGCGGCGAGATGAAGGCTGGTGTTGGTGGTAGTGGTGGTGTTGACTGCACATACACAATACCCCTTGAGCTACCGTGACAAACTACAGCTCACAACTACAAACTACAGCTCACAAATACAAACTACGGCTCATAAATACAAACTACGGCTCACAAATACAAACTACGGCTCATAAATACAAACTACAACACCCCCTCCTCCAATCACGTGAGAGATGCCAAGCCACAAGACACCAGTTCCTCCAATCAAGTGAGAAATATGATAACTGCTTGCCACTCTCCACCAATCACGTGCAAGACTGACTCGACCAGCCACACGTTCCACCAATCACGTGACACCACTAATCTTACGTCACCGTTTAATCTGACACTGTATGTAACGAAACCTTTATAAGTTAAGCTTTATTACTAAGACTAATCGTGAATTATATGAAGATTAACCTCCCAGCTTATGTTATTTAAGTTAGGGTAGGTTAGGTTAGGTTAGCGTTAGTTAGGTTAGGTTAGGTTAGGTTAGGTTAGGTTAGCGTTAGTTAAGTTAGGTTACGTTAGCGTTAGATTAAGCTTGGGAATGTTAGTTTACCGTCAGAGTGCTTAATCTTAGGTGAAATAAGCTTGAGTGGACTAATCTTCAGGTGACCATAATCCTACCCTTTAAAACACATCCCTTAAAAATCTTCCCTAAAATATACATACAAACCCTTAAATATCCCTTAAATGTTCCATAACACAAACTATTACCTAAAAATAAGACCTAATCAAATACGTTCTCTATATACCCTAAAATTGTCTTATTTACTTCAGTATCCCATTTTTTTCATATATCACAAAAGTTTATGATAATGAGGCCATATTTTTTATTTTTTTTTAAGAGTGGAACCACAATTTGTTATCAATATTATAGAGAGTAAATTTAATCAACCAGACCTTCTTCAATAATAATAATAGCAATAATAATAATAATAATAATAATAACAATAATAATAATAACAATAATAATAATAAATAAATAAAAACGTAAAGGGTGTCCATAAATCACTTAACCCAATTTAAAACAACAACCACAAATATATAAAACAATTATTTTTTTCTATTGTCAAAAAAGTATCTGACCGCTACATGAAACATTAACACACCGCGGATGATAGATAATGGTACATGGTCGTTCCTGTTCTGTATAATTTAACATGAGTAATACAATGTTGTTTTTATTTCCTCGTAATTAATATGATGTAGTTAGGATTAGTATGACACAGAGCTAGGCATACCAACCCTCCCGAGACACAGAGCCAGGCATACCAACCCTCCCGGGACACAGAGCCAGGCATACCAACCCTCCCGGGACACAGATCCAGGCATAACAACCCTCCCGGGACACAGAGCCAGGCATACCAACCCTCCCGAGACACAGAGCCAGGCATACCAACCCTCCTGGGACACAGAGCCAGGCATACCAACCTCCTGGGACACAGAGCCAGGCATACCAACCCTCCCGAGACACAGAGCCAGGCATACCAACCCTCCTGGGACACAGAGCCAGGCATACCAACCCTCCCGGGACACAGAGCCAGGCATACCAACCCTCCCGGGACACAGAGCCAGGCATACCAACCCTCCCGGGACACAGCCAGGCATACCAACCCTCCCGGGACACAGAGCCAGGCATGCCAACCCTCCCAGGACACAACCAGGCATACCAACCCTTCCAGGACACAGGGCCAGGCATACCAACCCTCCCGAGACACGAGTTGCAGGTAGCATTAGGGAAGTCATCAGACCCATCCTGACGAGATATATTTTGGAGATGCTGTACAAACCAGTATAGGCCTCTGCACTCAATTTCTACCATAACAATTTTCAGATGACTTTTAAAAATGGGTTAAATAAACTAGGTTAAATTGGACACCATGTAACGACCCGAAATTAAAGTACTAGGCATATTTTCTGGGGCACTATGAGGGCATGTGGCATTCAAGGTCAAAGATAAGCCTCTTGACACTATGCCAACAAGTGCCCGCCCAGTTGGTGAGGGTAAGGGTGTGTTAAGGTATGGGTAAGGGTGTGTTAGGGTGTGTTAAGGTAAGGGTGTGTTAGGGTGTGTTAAGGTAAGGGTGGGTTAGGGCTCAACCAATGGGCCATCTATGAGTGTCACCTCACCAAAACAAAAGTAAATCTCTCAGCCTAAGGCCACGCAACCTGTGACCTCACCAGATGTTGTAAACGCCACTGCCATAGAACAAGCGTTTTGGAGTGTTACAGCCCATGGGGAACAGCGAGGACCGTGTTAATAAATTGTTAGAAATAGTTTAGTTATGAGAGTATTGAAGATGTGGGAGAGGGAAGAGGAAAGAGCTGAGCGATCCGAGTTTCTGCTGAGTAGACATTTCGGCAGGTGGCGTGACTGTCTGGCCTCCTCTGATGCCCAGATAACTCTCCACAACCATACTGTGTACATCTCCACCGTCTGCTGGCAGTAGTGAACACACCAACTAACAATCCTGTCCCTGAGTACTAAGGCAATTTAAGCAGTACTGTTGTCTCTTGGAACACCATACTGATTTATATTGACCGACACTTGTAAGTACAGCCTGATGACATACCCCTCAGTACTGAAATATTGTGGACTAATTACGCTTACTCGTTCCTGCCTAACCTGGAGCAATAAGACAATGTGGAATGAAGTGTAGCTAAGATTAATATAGTCATGAACTTTGTGTTATGTCAGTATGTTTAATAAATTGTGATTAAGATAAAATTGTCTGAGATTAACTAATTATGTATCAGATAGATCACCATGTTATACTAATGACCGCCTTGTTGTCCGCAGGTTTTGACCACATCAATAAATAACGAATGAGTCAAAAGGTGGGTTTCAATCATTCCCTTTGACTTGCCCGTCACCTGAACGTCCTTAACTAAGGCGTTTACAGGGTGTGTTAAGGTATGGTGTGTTAAGATAAGGGTGTGTTAAGATAGTGTGTTAGATAAGTGTGTTATGTGTTTAGGGTGTGTTAGGTATGTGTGTTGGATGGTGTGTTAAGATAGGGTGTGTTAAGGTGTGTTAAGGTTGTGTGTTAAGAGGGTGTGTTGTGTGTTTAAGGGTGTGTTAAGGTATGTTTAAGGTTGTGTTAAGGTATGGGTATGTTAGGGTGTGTTATGGTATTAATGTGTTAGAGTGTGTTAGGGTGTTAATGTGTTAAGGTGTGTTAGAGTGTGTTAATGTGTTAAGGTGTGTTGGAGGGTGTTAGGGTGTTAATGTGTGTTAGTGTGTGTTAGGGTGTTAATGTGTGTTAGTGTGTGTTAGGGTGTTAATGTGTTAGAGTGTGTTAGTGTGTTAGGGTGTTAAGGTGTGTTAGGGTGTGTCACGGGGTAGTTGTCAGGTGATGTAAACAAGGTGGTGGTGGTGGCGTATCTCATCTACCCACGGCGGCTGTGTTCAGTGAATTGATTTTCTCTTTCTCTCTCTTGGTCGTCTTTCTTTTTCTCTCTTTCTCTCTCTTGGTCGTCTTTCTTTTTCTCTCTTTCTCTCTCTTGGTCGTCTTTCTTTTTCTCTCTTTCTCTCTCTTGGTCGTCTTTCTTTTTCTCTCTTTCTCTCTCTTGGTCGTCTTTCTTTTCTCTCTTTCTCTCTCTTGGTCGTCATTCTTTTTCTCTTTCTCTCTTGGTCGTCTCTTTTCTCTCTTTCTCTCTCTTGGTCGTCATTCTTTTTCTCTCTTTCTCTCTCTTGGTCGTCTTTCTTTTCTCTCTTTCTCTCTCTTGGTCGTCATTCTTTTCTCTTTCTCTCTCTTGGTGTTTTTCTCTTTCTCTCTTGGTCGTCTTTCTTTTTCTCTCTTTCTCTCTCTTGGTCGTCTTTCTTTTTCTCTCTTTTAAGTGTATTTCAATCGAACCTTCACTCTCTCTCTCTCTCTCTCTCTCTCTCTCTTTATCTGGTCTCTCTCTATTTATCTCAGTCTCTCTCTCTCTCTCTCTCTCTCTCTCTCTCTCCAAAGACTTAAGCCTACTTGAAGAATGAGGTCAGGGTTAAGTAAGAGTGAACTCAGGTTGGCGGGTGTGTCACGTGACGGTGCTGTACT